AGAGTTAGATTCATGAAAGTGAAGAAAGATCAGAGCCGCAAGTCAAGTAATGGTTTGTCTAAGCGCAAACTCATGTCCCGACCTGTCTCTTCCGAGAGAGGCTCGCCTTCTCGGAATCTTAACCGTTCAGACAAGTAAGCTGTTCTCTCTTTGAGTGCTTTATTATTATTTTTTAGTTTTTTTTATGTAATATTTTGTCTATGTGGTGATAGGATCATAGATTCTCCAGGTAATGTACGGAGATCGTTTGTGGCGTCGCTTGAGAAGGAAGATAGGTACTACACAACGAGGGGTTCAATGGGTACAGATGAAAGTGGAAAAGTTGTAAAAGAAACTGTGAAGGAAAACAAGAAGCATGTGTGGCCAAAGTTGTTTATGACTTTGTCAAATAAAGAGAAGAAAGAAGATTTTTTGGCTATGAAAGGGTGCAAACTTCCTCAAAGACCCAAAAAAAGAGCCAAATTGGTTCAGAAGACTTTGCTTGTGAGTCCCTTTGTTATGTTCTTCCTAATCTCTTTCTTGGTGTTACAAATCTCATATGGCTATGTAATGTTTTACGCAGCTCGTGAGTCCAGGTACTTGGTTATCAGATCTGTGCAAAGAGAGGTATGAAGTAAGAGAGAAGAAGAAGACTTCAAAGAAGGTATACCATTGTTTTTTTTTTTGCTTTTAGTCTCTTTTAACAAGAAAGTAGTAAACACCTAGTTTCTTTGTGAATGCTGAGATTATCTGATAATTTTATGTTTTTATGAAGCGGCCAAGAGGATTGAAGGCAATGGGAAGCATGGAAAGCGATTCAGAGTGAAAGGATAGAAATGAGACAACACAAAATGAATCTGTTTTGTCTGTCATTACATTTTGAGAAGCCTACTCTTATGAGCAACTTGTATTTTTGCTTTGAAGCTAATCTATAGCTTCCCTAACCAAAAATCTCCTGTCCCACCCATTTTTTTATTGTTTTTAACTTGTTGATTCAGCATTTAGACAATTCATGTAAACATAGCTTCATGATGAGAAGTTCTTCAATCTCTAATCAGAAATGGACGAGGAAGTGTACTAAGAACTCCAAACACAGATCAATAAAGACTACATTATATTAGAATGGATACGAAATCTGCACACAGATCAGTGTATGAATATTACAACACACAAACCAAAACTGCAGCTACCATTACCAATTACCAAACTCTTTACCTAACAAGTCCCAAGTCTTTTAGAAATAGTCATTCTTCTACATTTAATTAATCTGTACTTTGTCACCATACCTACAAATGTACATTTGATGCAATGCTGGTTAAGTGCTTTCTCCTGTGACGTTTATCCTCTGAGCTGCTAGCTTTGAAACGCAGATCAGGAAAACAACCAACACATTTTATCCCCCAGAGATAACGGCCAGCTGCCAGATCAGATGCTGTTAAGGAGAGCCAAGTTTGAATGATGTGACCAGGATGGAGCAAGTAATCTACCTTCTCTAATGTTCACCTGATAGCGGGTAAACAAGTCTTTGACATTGAGAAAGAGCCGGACTGGTTCCTCAAAACAACGCAAGCTCTAGGACAATGTTCATGGCATGCTAGTTGGTGTAAAGGAAGGAGAGAGAGTAAGCCATCTGCCTATAAGGGAACTATAAAGCTTCAAGGACAATGGAGGCTTTTGTGAAGACTGAAAGAACAAAAGGTGCTTCTTCCCCTGGGTGTATAGTGGTCGGAACAATAGTATATCCCTTAGGATCAGGATCAAGAACCATTTCGCATGATATCTCACGGGAATTCACATAGTCTGTTCCACCAACAGATTCATGAAGAAATATGTTGTAGGCAGCACGATGTCCACGAGTTTTAAGAATCCTCATTCCAATATAGAACAACTGCGAATCATGGCTTGATTGGTAGTTACGAAACCCAGGAGTTGTTCTTGAGAAACCTACGCCCTGTAAGTAATCATTGGGAGAATGAGGTTTTCCTTACTTATCAGAGGATATGAATTCCACAAGAATGAAAAACAAATGAGTTCTGATATTAAGAAAAAGCATTTACCTGTGTTAGAGTGATGAAAACATGAATAGGCAAAGATGCATCAGAACCAGTAGCCCTCAGCCGGAACTGTGGATTTTGATGCCATGAGCTATAATCTTGGCAGCCACCGGCACTATAGTTTCGCCATTGGCCATGGACTGAATGGCGCATCTCACGAGGGTATACCCGGCAAACATATATTGATCTGAAATGAATCTGGAAATCTTGCCAAGACATCCAGAATATACCTTCGTTTGACTGTTGAACAGAATGCACATGATCAGTATACTTTAATGGAAGGAACTAGAAGCACATTTGCATATACTTATGCGCAAGTATTAATGTGGTACAAAGGAGTAAAGCATGATAGAAATTACCTGTGGAACATGCTTCAGCTTGTGCTTCATCCTATCACTCCACTCTGGGGATGAGTCTGACCAGGGACCATTCCACTCAACTTCATTGGCCCAAGGATTTCGGATCTGAACAAGTCTGTGCCCATCCACCTCTCTCACCTGAAGACAAAGACAATTTTCTAGAACGAGTTCACATGCTCAGCATATCACATATGCAACATGGCATACCTGTAAGACGGAGTAAGCATGCCCTTGCACAATGCCACTGGAAGATACATGAACATCAGATCCTGATGGACTTCCTGCACCAAGTAAAAAGCCTTCTTGCTTAAATCGTAACAACTGAGACCATAATCTGCCACTTGCAAGATCGATTTGTGCTTGAGCACTCCTCAAGTCAATCTCTTCACCAGCACCTCCGGTTAGGTCAACAAGAGCATCCTGAACCAGTCCCCCCTCCAGTGCCTCATAAGAACCATGGAGCTTGGCGTATGCTTTCTCCACTATAGAGACCCAGAGTTCGTTGAATTTTTTGCTAGTAGCAAAGGCTGGTTTGCCAGGTGATTCACATGGAATCCAGTCATCGATAACAACGGGAACCCACTCACCCTACAAGTTGAACGCAAATTAACTTGAAACCTCTGGCTATATAGAAATCATAGAGGAAGCTACAAGAACCGATCATCACGAGAGCAAGGCAGCATAGTGAAAGAATATTAGGAAAATAACCTGAATACAAAAACGAACAGTGTAGATTCCTTCCTCGTTGTATTCAGGAGTAATGATCACTTCAGATATTTGTGAGACTTCAGTAAGAACTGCAACAGCGCTTAAAAACCAACAATCGCCCAAACGCCCCTATGGAACAAGTTAAACCAATCATACAGATAAATATCAAGGATTACTCTGAATCAAATCCGACTGGAAAAACGTTGTCAAGAATAATATTTTGTGCATCGGTAAACTGCATCACATATTAAAAATTTTAAGTGATCAAACCTGACAAACATCTGATGGATTTGCATCCCCAGAGAATAGGCAGGGACGGGAATCACTACCGTTCTCTTTCACAATGGAATCAGGTCTCATCCATTCAGAAACAACCTGAAAAGCTCGAAAAGGTTAGAATGCTATTCAAGTTATTGATTTTTAGCCTACTTAGAGGGGGGGACTATGAGTCTCAAAATAATCATATAAAGAGTGAAATTATCGACTAATAGTAGAAGGAGAAAAAAATCACAATTCCTACCTGCAATTTTGAAGGGGGATTCTGTGTATCCACGAATAAAGAGCGATCGTTTGGAGGAAACTCCTGGTCAGTAAATTGCTTATCACCTCGTGCAGAGAGAGCTTCTTTGACAGCCAACTCAACTGAACGCATTCTTTGATTTATATCTTCTTGGGTCTCCATCCTCGATTTCCTGTGTCTTCTAGAAAACGAATCGGTATTAAATAGAAAATCCCGACCTGATCTTCTTTTCCTCCCACTGGAATATTGTCCATCCCAATCTACATCATCCCTATCATAGAGATCCACATCGGCAGGATCACTATCCCAACCATCAACCTGGTAAAAGAGAGAAAACACAAACGAGAATCAGTATGAGCTTAAACATTATCCCCCCCCCTCCCCCACCCTCCAAATCAGAAAAAATTGCCAACATTTGAACAAGAGGGAACATACTCTGGGTGGTGAAGCCGTCCATTGCCAATTGTCATCATTCAGATCAATCATGTCTAAGTCAGCCATGCCAATGGCTGCATGCAAAGAAGCGGCCTCATCTTCAGTTAAGCATTTTCCCCAAAGGAAAACATCCATTATATGCATCTTTGACTCAGCCCCATCACTATCTGATCTGCCAAATGCATCGACATCTATAGGTGGCTTAACACCCAACCAAACTTCAGCGCCTTGTTCCCAAATGGCACTACTAATACTTAGAGGTAACCCAGTCTGGTAGCCATCAAACCCACCATCTAAGTAACAAGTAGCCTCCCCCGCATCAGCATCAACAGTGATCGTCACTGTATGCCACCTGAGATGTAAACCACCGATATATAAATATGACTGAAGAACATGAGATATATGTATCACTAAGGTCATGGAATAAAATTGGACAATATGGAGACAGAGAAAAAAAAAATGACAGACCTTCCATCCGTTATGCTAGTTGCACCGATATACCACTCTCTAGCAACGGTTGTCTGCCTCTCACCTTTAGTGATCAACCTAAGCCCAACTAGGCCAGCTTCAATTCCTTGCTCAGAACCAGCAACCAGAACCTCCCAACACACTTTCTTTTGATATTCAGTGCTAAAAAGGCATACAGGTCCAGAATCGGGTTGGATCATTGCTGTAATGGAAAAGCTAATCTTCTGACTCTGGCAGACACTTGCATCAATTTGGCCGCAATGTTTACCACTTATCATTGGTTCATCGTCAAGAACACAAACAGCACCAGCAATTCCAGTCTGGTAATAACTTGTATTAGCTAACTTCCCAGTAATCAGCATCTTTAGAATGTACACTTACAGAATATAAATAAAAAATTTACCAGCTGTGCACGTCGTTCTAACTGAGCTGTGCGTATCCTACGTGCAATACCCGATACTCTCTCTCTTGCAAAGGAATCCTCAAGGACAGAATCACCCCCAACAGCACGTATAGCGGCTGCCATAGCTGCTGCTTCTCTGCTACCAGCATTAGGCATAGATGGAATAAGGGAAGCTTCAATTTCCTTCCATTTGCGCTCTTCCTTCTCCAAAAGAGCTTTCCTTCTTTCTTTACCTCTCCCTTCTTCTTCACGTCTCTGCATGAGGATTTCCTCTTCCATCTCTTTCTCTCTCAGATAACTATGTTACAGAAAAAGATAAGCAAAAAGTCTGACGGTTCAGCTTCATTAAACCTATTTCTTAAAAGATAAACATGTACCTCTCTTGGATAATTTCAAATTGTCTTCTATCTTCTGGCTTCCATTTACTGATTTTTCTGGCACTTAAGTCAGAGAACCCAATGCTATCTAAGAAGAGTTTCAAGCGTACCTCATCCTACAACATTGCGATAATCTTTTGTTACAAAAAAAAAGTAAACGAGTATATATGGCAAAATTTAGAATCAGGGCTCACCTGGACTTTCTCCGCCTTAGCTGTCAAACCTAACAATAGCAATAAATAACCACCAAACTTGTCCCACATGTACACCCATTCTGTATCAATTGCTTCTTCTAGTGCCAAAACCCTTGCATGAGCACACATGTCTCTTCTGTAATCCACATTTGTCGGTGGTTCATGGCGGAATCTTTTTCTGCATTTCATTCTGTAGAAGAAGGATCCAGCAACTCTTTCTTCATTCCTGAGACGATCCCTTAATTTCATGACATCATCTCTAGGAAGCACTAAGTTCCCTGCTTTATCACGCATTGCAGAGGGGTCCCCAACCAGAAGAGCTGCAGAGCTGGCGGACCTTTGGGGAGCTGAATACGTGCCGGATAAAGCATTTCTCGTCTGCCATTAACATGTTGCAAAAGGTGTAAGAAATTATGAGTCCCATAGAGCACTATTGCATGTGAATGTGTTAAATTAAGGCCACCAACAGAATATCGACATTGATTTTCAAGAGAACACCAAGAAAGATATCAGATTTTAACGTACTTTAGTGGCAGATCGAG